GCTCTTGGATATTGGCATTGCAAGCCACCACATCTGGAAGGGCCAAGGGCCAAAATTAGAGAGAGAGAGAGAGAGAGAAGGAGAGAGAGAAGGAGGGAGAGAGGGAGAGAGAGCTTCTGGAACAACATCTGTTTATTTATTCTTTCTCTGAAGTTCAGGGGGATGATTGTAAATCATTAGAAGCCCAGATTTTGTTTCTCAAATGTTTTGTTCTCTATCAATTTCAGGAGTGAATTGCTTGGCCTACGATGAAGCCATCATGGCCCAACAGGACCGCATTCAACAGGAGGTGAGTTACTCGTCTTCTGCTTAATGGCCCCGGCAGGGACTCACCCACATTATATACGTTATTCGTAGACATGCTTCAAGCTAAATTCGAGAGGTTCCTCTGCCTTGTGTCCTGCCCATTGCCCCTTCCTTGAATCTTTTTGAGGTCCTGCATAATTGCCTAACATTTTCCCCATGGCCACCCTGAGCCACCCAAGAGATATAGGGTATTCTGTTTTGGCCCGCCATCGGAACTGGCAGCAGATTCGGACAGTGAGGAGGGTTGGGGAGGAACCTGGGCCAGTCCTGGAGTCTGGGGAAGTCTCTGAGGAGGGCTCTGTGTCGGAGACAGAGAGGGAGCCAGGGCCGTATGCCAGTTATCAGCTGCCTTCTAAGTCGGACATCAGTGAGGCAGAAGAACAGCTGGAGCCTGTCCCCAGTGTAAGGGCTCATGCGCAGAGTTGCCAGACGAAGGGAACAGCTAAAGAACAGGGGTCGACTTGGGAGGAAGGCCACAAGTGGATGGTGAATGGCCCCTCCCAGAGGAAATAAAAGAGGAGTGAAGGGGGAGTGGAGTTTGCAGGAGACAATTAGTTCGCTTAATTGGTTCGTGGCTCTCCAAGACTCCTGGCCAGGTTCTGCAGATATTGTCCTGGCAGCTCTCCAAGCCAGATGAGGTCTGTGACTGTAAATCCTCCCTCGAAAGACTTTGCTGGATGTGAAGGAGCAGAATTCACAGGGAATTAATAAAAGGGGTTTTTGTCGGGACAACAAGGAGTTTGCTTCATGCATGTTCTCAGTCAGAACATAGTCTTTGGCTTGGAACCAATCACTTAGCAACAGTTCAAAGTTACGACAGAAACCCCCCTCCCCACTCTAGAAGATATTTATGGCCTGGTTCCTCCCCCCCCCCCCAACTTTACAGCCATTTGCTGTGTTTACATCTGTTTCTTGACAAAAATGCTGAACGAGAGGTTCGTTTAACGGGTGCAGCCAGAGCGATCCACTTAACAAAACCAAACCCAGTGTTAAGTGGAGAACTGCCTTTATGGTGCGTTTCTCAAGCTAGATGACGACCTGGGGGTGTGTTTGGATGATCTCTGTTTGCAGCGAGCATGTTAACCAGGGCCTGGGGCATTTAGGGTGGAACTGCTGGTGGGAGATGGAGAGGCTGGTTCTGTTCCTGGGTGTCGATTCACTCCGTTTCTTTGCAGATTGCTGTCCAGAACCCTTTAGTCTCCGAGAGGATGGAGTTGGCCGTCCTGTATAAGGAGTATGCTGACGATGACCATGTATACCAGCAGAAGATCAAGGTGAGAGTCACCTGTAGCCCAGGGGGGTCACCAGCCTTTTGGACCACTAAATTTATAATTTTAAATCCCACGGTCTGCCTAATGACTGGCTTGGCGGCTGAAGCTAGGTGGTCATGTGACTGGGTGGGCATGGCCTACTTGATGTCACTCACGTCGAGGGGCACCACGCTGGCCTCTATTCGCCCCTCCCCTCCCAGCCACTCCTCACTTGCCTGCCCTTAGGGCCCCAACAGGGGGCAACTATGAGAAAGAGTTGGCAAAACAGCTCAGTTCAAATTGGATCTAGCCGAGAATTGTTTAGATAAAACAATTTAAAATAAGAGTAAGGTAAAATACAATAGTTATAGGATAGCAATAGCAGTTAGTCTTATATACCGCTTCATAGGGCTTTCAGCCCCCTCTAAGTGGTTTACAGAGTCAGCATATC